CCCATCGAGTGCACATTGACCCTCCGAAGGGCATCCCACCCAGACCCATCCCCCTGCCTTATCCCTGCATTTCCCATGGCTAACTCACCTTAGCCTGCACATCCCTGGACACTACGGGCCAATTTAGCATGGCCAATCCACCCTAACCTGCACACCTTTGGACCATGGGAGGAAACCATAGCACCACGCAGAGAATGTACAAACTCCACGCAGACAGTCACCCAAGGGTGGATTTGAACCTGGGTCCCCGGCAGCTGTGAGGCAGCAGTGCTAGCCACCGAGCCGCCATGATGTAAGAGTAAGTGAAATCCGGGTGGATGTAGGGATAGTGGCACCCTGAGGTGCCTAGAGTTGACAAAGCAGGAAACATACACTGGTAAGTAAGGCTAATATATTTCCAGCTGTGAGACTTGTTGTTGAAAAGGGAAGGTAATAAAGATAAAGTCAGGCAATGAGTCAGAAATGGAAATAGTAAATTCCCATATGTTATCAACATAATGACCGAGTTTAAAATAAACCACAGATTCATTGCAGTTAAATATTGGATTTCTTGGGACCCATTATAAATATTTAAATACTGCACCATAATTTACTACTGCATTGATGCACAATAGTCTGCTTGGGCAATACTTTGTCACACACTGAGCCTTGGCACATCTGAATTCCGCCAGTAGAAGGTGCAGTGATTCCATTCACTTTAAATTCCACCTTCAGCATTAGGAGTCAATTCTGTGCGATGAAGCATTTACATTTTGTTCCAGCCTGAGTGCTGAGTGTCTGTGAATTTTCGAACTTGATTACTTTCTGTCACATAGGTTTCTTAAGAATTTTCCTTGTAGTTTACATTCCAGCTTCCTTTTCTTTTGTCACCCTCTCTTTCTTTGTCTCTCCATCTCTTTTATTCCCTTTTTCTCTTTCTCCTTTTTTCTCTTTCTCTCTTCACTCTTTTTCTCTCTCTAAGCCTTTTTCTTTCTCTGTGCCTCTTTCCCACCCCCCCCTCCCCCTCTCTCCCTTCATTTGGCTTTGTCTCTCTCTCTCTCTCCCCTTCCCTGTATCCCTGTTATTGTCCCTTCCCCTCTTCCTTTATCTTTCTGTCTCTCGCTTTCTGTATTTAGTTGTGTCTTTGTCCTTCTGTCTCTCATGAACCCGACTAATGTGTCCTGTGTGATTTGCAATGTGCACTAGTGCAGGCCATTCGGCCCAATGAGTCCAACCGACCCTCCGAACAATATCCCATCCAGCCCCACCCCCCTACTCTGTCCCTGTAACCCTGCATTTCCCATGGCCAGTACACCTAACCTACACATCTTTGGATTGTGGGAGAACCCAGAGCACCCAGTGGAAGCCCACACAGACACAGGGAGAATGTGCAAACTCCACGCAGATAGTCACCGGAGGGTGGAATCCAACCTGGGTCCCTGGCGCTGTGAGGCAGCAGTGCTAACCACTGAGCCACCGTGCCAATCTTAATGTAATCGCACATTATAACAAAAAAACAGAATTTCATTTTGACAAGCAGCCAGTTGGCCATTCATAATTTTTTAAAAAAAATATCTTATTAATAGTACACTCATTGTAACTGCAATATTGGACTAATTTGAGTCTTACTTTCCTGGGTGGTCATAACGCTTTCCGAGCAATTAGGAATTTTTAACTGATTTTAGAAAAGGGATTTCTTTTGGAGGAATGATCTTCAACTCGTATAACCCCTTGACCTTGCTGTACTTTAAGTTAACAGGGCTTCGCCATGAGATTTCACAGACATGGTCATTTTCTGAAAGATAAACCAAGGCCATGCACATATTACCCTGTGGGGTTTCATGAGGGAGAAATTTTGCTTTTGATTCAGATGTTCAAAGAATCAAAAAGATGCCAATTGGCCCAACGGGCCCATGCTAACCCTTTGATAAAAACAGTTCTGCTTTGACCCACGCCCACCACATTTTGAGTTTGTACATGGATCACCTTATTCCAGCTTCTTGGGTAGAACATTCCAGAACCTGATAATTTGGACAAAAGATTTTCTCCTTGCCTCACTTATTCCCCATCCTCGCTCTCAAATCTTTTGCCAAAAACTTGTGGCCTTTGGTTATTGACCTACTTGTTGGAGGGAGCATTTCTTTCCCAACTAACTTTCCAAATCCCCTCTTTATTTACCTGATTATTTGTAGTTGCGAATTGCATTCGTACCTGGTAGGGATTCTGCTGTGAAGAAGGGTCCAGACCCGAAACGTCAGCCTTCCTGCTCCTCTGATGCTGCTTGGTCTGCTGTGTTCATCCAGCTCTACACCTTGTTATCTGGGATTCTGCTGTCTTGTGTTAACACACTGTCACCAAGTAAATAAATGATCAGACAAGAATAATGCAGGCGCCGGACAAAACGTAGGTGCTGAATTTCTGCCTCACAGCTTCAAATAATACACTGCTGCAAAAAAGAGACCTGCTGTCTGGAGCTTTAAGAATTAAACAAAGACATTGGGAGGGGGACGGTCAATAGCTCCTCGTGGCATTCTCCATTGCAATACAGGAGGACTGCAGAGGTTCAAGAAGGCAGCTCACCACCACCTTCTGAAGGGCAACTAGGGATGGGCAAGAAATACTGGCCAGCCAGTGACGCCCACATCCCCCAAATGAAGAGAAAAAAAAATCTTGACCAATCCGAATGGACTTGCTGACCAATCCACGCCCTTTACTCACGCGGTAAAAATTGTTACTCCCTTTGGAATTTAGCATTCTTCCACCTATCCCGATGAGTGTAAGATGAAAATCTTTGTCTCTGTTTTTATAACTCATTGATACTCAAATTTCTCATTATCAAGAATGACTGACTATTTAATACACTTGCAGTTTATTAGTTTCACAAAAAGCTTTTCTACCACCCCTGTAAAAAAATAATAACCATGTTGGAAAATTGAATATTGAGTGTAGTCTGGAAATTTACAAGCAGTCTGTGTCGGATTTAAACACACGCACGTCCCTGATGTATTAACAGATTCCTGGCCTCTCTGACAATATTTATGCCTATTTTCAAATGCAGTCTGTTACATATGCACTTGGAGCTCAGGGTAGGGCCCTCACTGTTGATTTTTTTTATTTTTAGACCCTGTGTGCTTCTCGTTTGACCCCAATCAGAATCTCTCCGAGGTGATGACCTTTTGGTTTTTTTTTCACAGCAACACTGCATTGATTAAATATGAAGAGGGTAAAAGTTCATTTACTATAATTTGCCTTTTCATGTGATAACCGGTACTTCAGCTGGGTCACTGTCCCAGGCACTGCTGTGGAAGTTGATCTATTTCATTAAGTGAACACAAACTGTGGCAAAGCTTAGCCCTTAATAGTCCTTCTGTATCGCTATCCAACTGAAAAGAAGGTAGCATTGCTTAGGAGCAACCGACTGTTGTTTTCTGCAGCAAACCCTCCGTCTCTCTTTCAACACTTGATCATTTTGGAGGAAGATCTGTCCCATGAATGATTGGAGCTGCGCCTAATTTTGCGATCTCACTAAATGCTCCAGTGATTCCTGCTGTTTTCAAAGGTTGTCCATTCACGGTGTCTGCGCTCGGCTAATTATCTTTACTAATTCCTGGCATGTGCCTGTCACTCACAAGGCCAGCATGTCCCTGCCCATTCCTAATTGCCCCTGAAAAGGCAGCAGTGAGCTGCTGCTTTGAATCCAACTGAGGGGCCATTGCAGAGGGCAATGGAGTTACAGCCATATTCCTCAGAGCCTGGGGTCACAGATAGAGTCAAGCAACAACAAGAACTTGTATTCATATGGCATCTCTAATAGAATGAAATGTCCCAAGGTGCTCAACAGTAGCATTATACATTTAAGTACAATACCAGCATCCATAAAGAGATATTAGAGCAGAATAGTCTCTTGGTAACAATCTACTGATTTAATTCCCTAAAGGAAGTGTGAATATAATTATAGTTTGGTCCAATGCTCAGTTTTAAAATATTTATGTAATTAACAAAAATTAACAGATCTGAGACAGCTCTGAGAGCTTTTGAGACACTCTGCTGATGTAATTCCAACATTGGGCGCAATCTAAGCTAAAATCAGCATTGCCTTTGAACTTATCAAGGATTTTTGATTTCTTCCTCATAAATATAATTGTGAAATATGAGGTCCATTTTTGTGTTCCTTTGCACGTGCCCTTGGGTGTGCCTGCTCCTGCACTCTCCCCAGACACACGCACATATGCAAACGCATACCCTCACTATATGTACACGCACTCGCATGCTGTCTCTCTCAAACACTCACACACAAGTACATTCTCTGTCACTCACATGCTTTCCCCCACAGTCTATCGCACACTCATGCACTCTCACACTCATGCATTTCCCCTCACGCTTGCATACTCTTGTGTCTGCTCACACTCATGCACACTTACAAACTCGTGTGCTCTCACACACTGCTCTCATACACACTCGCACATGCTGTCTCACTTACACATTCACGCAGACGCACACATGCTCTCTCATATACTTGCACAGACTCTCACACTTGTGTGCTCCCTCTCTCTCGCACCCTGAAGACCTCTATCTCTCATACACTTGCACTCTCTATCACACCTGCATGCATGCTCTCATTTGCACATATTTGCATGCTTATTTTTCCATCACACTCTCACACTGTAATTTACACACACACTTCCATGCTCCTCCTCATGTATACATTTGCACCACACACAGGTACATATTCTCTCTCTCGCATGCACATTTGTACACTCTCTCTCTCATGCACACACCCACATGCCCTGACATGCATTCTTTCTCTCTCAGACTCTCAAGTGCGCACTCACTCTAATACACATTTGTGTGCTCTCTATCTCTCTCACACACTTATGCATGCTCATTCACACACGCTCACTCATTCATGCGCTCTCGCTCGCTCTCACTCACATACACACTCTTACTTATTTCTGCTCTTCCCCCCCCCCACACTCCATTGCGCATATGAAGATATTTAAACCAAACTTCTCCCATTCCAGGATTTTCTGAGGATTATGTTCCACAAGGTGATGCATGCTGCTACCGCCTCCCAGTTCTCCTCCAATTGCAGGGTGTGCTGCATAAGGTATGTGGGTAGGGGGGGATTAGCTGTCATCTGTATCGCAGCCAATCCTTTCACCTTCCAACAGGAGACACCAATCGTGTTGATACCCTCTTGCTTACAGTTTAACAATGTAATATCACACAGTTCCTCCCCTTTATTGCTATTTGCTTCCACATGTCTTCCGATGTCCACAAGGGCCACTGTGCAGTGGTTATTTTAGCATATTCATAATCTAGTGGCTTGGTCTAACGACCTGGAGACTTGAGCTCAATTCCCACCACGGCAGCTGGGGCAGTTTAAATGCAGTTAATAAGTTGTAGACCGTAAAACCCAGGAGTAGAAGTAGGCCATTCAGCCCATCGAACCTTTATCTCCACCATTCAATAAGATCTTGGCTGATCCAATCATCCACTTTAGTAACCAGGAGGCTACCAGTTTATCACTAAAATGCCAGCCAGGGAAGGGAAGCACTGACTAGGTCTGACCTACACGTGACTCCAGGCCCATAGCAATGCAGCTGACCTGTGAATGCCCTCTGAAATGGACTAGCAAAGCCTCTAGGGGTCAGTGCAGTTTGGAATGGGTTAATAAACACAGGCTGTTCCAGACAAACCAACACCCCAAGCAAGAATTTAAAAAAAAAAGAAAGCCTCTCCCTGGCCCACTAACCAGCTGGTATCCATGACTAACTTGTCAGCAGTTTAGATGCAAATTTAATCAAAATTTCAAGATTAAATGTGCATGCTGCTGAGTGGATTTAGACTCCATTGTCTTCACTGTGGTGACTAAAGTCTACAGCCTGACCTGAAATTAGATTTTGTTTCAAAAATATTAGAACCACCTGCAATGAACAGCAGCCAGTCTTTTCAGGATTGGTCTCTTTCCATAATCGTCAATGTCACCTTAATTTCTATCCCCGTTTGGAGATGCATTTATTTACTAGGGATAACAGGCGTGTTCAAATCGAGTGAAAAATCTTCTGTTTGTCTCCATCCTTCTCTCATCTTTTAATCTTAGTGAAAACTAAAGAGCTCTAATCTAACTCTGGAGCTGTGAGCTGTGTTACCAGGGATTCACGCACGGAAAGACAGTTAGTTTTAATCCATGTTTACCATCCTGCTAAATGTGTTTCTTTCTCAGCTAATTGCATTGCTTCTTGTTAAAATCCTAGCACTCCCTTTTAAATCACAGAATGATTTAAACTTTGCGCTGTGAAGAATTGGGTGTGATGCGTCCTATTTATTTTGAAATGTGAAGAGGAACATGTTGGCCAATGATTACACCCACACCCCAGCAGTGAGATTCAAATCTAATCACCTGCCAATCAGTTTGGTAAGAGCTGATGGGCAGAATATGGCCAAGATAGCCACCAGATCGCAGGCCTCGAGACTGGACGACTGGGTCAGCAGAACTGGTCAATCAGAAACTAGTAGCTCCTGGGTGCTGAGGGTGATGGCCAGTAAATTGGGAGATCCAGTGCCTGTGGATTAATTTGGGTAGGACTTGGGGAGAGGTTCGTCAGGGCCAGAACACACACGCGCGCACAAACACACATGTGCGCACACACGTACACGCGTGTGCGCACACAGACACACACGCGCACAAACACACACGCTACCCGTATACTCTCACCTCACCCACTGCAGTGATTGATTGTTACATTGCTTAAGTGGCCACTTTTTTAAAAAAAATCATTCATAGGATGTTGGACAGCTTTAAATGTCCATCACTAATTTCCCGGAGGGTAGCTAAGAGACATCCGCATTGCTGTGGATGTGGAGTCACATATAGACCAAAGCAGGTCAGGACAGCAAATTTCCCTTCCTAAAGGGACATGAGTGAACCAGGTGGGTTTTGAGATCAGAAAGAGGTCAAGTATTAGCCATTTAAGCAATTTAATTGCTGATAAGTTGACAAATCAGCAATGGGCCTTCTCACACAGCTCCTCATTGCAGAGCAGGTGGGTACATCCCTTTCCAACTCACTTGATTATTTCCCCATCTCACCACCTCAGCATGGAGGGAGGGAATTCTGCCTGTAATTTCCCACTCTGGGAATGACACACCAGTGGTGCTCGCTAAGGTGGAGGGCTGTGACAGATTATAGAAATTGTGAAAAAATATGATCATCTATTGTTGGAAAGGGGGCACTGGTTTTGCGGTGGTAGTGTTCCTATCTCTGAATCAGAAGGCCAGTATTCAAGTCCTAACTGCTCCAGAGGTATATAATAACAAATAAAAATCAAAAGAACTGTAGATGCTGTAAAGCAGCAACAACTTTTCTGAGGAAGGGTCACTTGACCTGAAACGTTAACTCTGATTTCTCTCCACAGATGCTGCCAGACCTGCTGAGCTTTTCCAGCAATTTGTTTGTGTCTCTGTGTGTGTGTGTAAGAGGAAGAGAGATACCGTCTCTATGACCAGGTTGATTAGAAATATCTATGCCTATATAATTGAGAAATGAATTTCAACATGGATAAGGGTGTGGTATTACATTTTTGGTAAGAAAAACGGGGAAGGCAAACATAGCTTGGAGCATGGGAATCTAACTGGGAAACAGGAAAGAAGCAGTCTGCATGTTATAAATAAACATATAGTGATGCAAAGTGCAGACCATTTAAAAACAAAATCAAGCAACTTGGATTTCTTTGGGGAATGATTGAATTGAAAAGCACAGAAGTTATGCTAATCCTGTATCAAGTCTTTGTGTATAGTTTTGGCTGTCACTTTTACTGAGGACATGGCAGCACTGGAGAGTCTACAGAGATTTTACAGGGATAATTGCTAGAGCTGTGGGCTTAAATCCACCAGGAGAGGAAGAATGGGTAGGCTCTCCTTCCTATTGACATTGAGAATGTTTGGGGAGTGGCCTCATTCAGATCTTGAGAATTATGAAAAGTTTTGACCGACAGACGTGGGGGAGGGTGGAGTCAGTATTCCCGCTTATGGGAAGAGCATAACCAGAGGCCATCAAGGTAAGATAGTCAACAAAAAAATTCCCAAGAAAACTCTTTACCCAGAGAGTGGTGAGAACCTGGAACTGGCTACCACAGACAGTGGTTGAGGCAAATATTACTTAAGTAAAGCCGGATAGGCATGTGAGAGAGCACGGACTACACAGGGGAAGTCTGGTATACCCCAGATGTTAGGGTGTAAAAAGCAAGAGTCTGTTATAGCTGGACCACATTAGTGAGATGCCTCCTATATTGGAGGAGCAAAATGAATGTTTAAATAAAGATTCACCTGTGGAGAGCCATGGGACCTTGACCTTGAGACCCATTGCAAACAAATTTGGGACATATTGAACCATATGATAATGGCCGATGTCAGGTATCGATTGAGAGGGATGGGAGGCTCATGTGGAGTATCAACGGTGAGGTGGATATTTCGTTAGAATGATCTGTGTCTGTGCTACAAGTTCCATCTTGCATTGTGTAAACCCATTTCTTTGCATTATGTCCAATGATGAGATCGGATTTAGCCTGAACTCATCATTCTGAAACTGGTTCCATAACAACACTATCAGTGTATACCTACTGGACATGGACTGCAGTGGTTCTAGAAGATAGCTCATAATCACCTTCACCAGGGCACTTGAGAGTGGACAGTAAATGCAGGCCGAGCGAGCAACTGTCAACATCCCATGAACTAATCTATTAAATATAAACCAACTAGCTTATTTAAAAACAGGGAACCTTCTTCCTTCTGTTACCGAGGCCTTAATGATATTGCCCCTTTAAGGTGAAGCGCTCATCGTATCCCAGTAAGTTTGGGTTATTTGTGTCTGTAGGCTGAGGAAGATGAGTGCAATTTGAAGGGTCTTCCTAAACCAGTGCGTTTCTGGCCAAGTCACATGGCCAGCTTTGGGCGTGGTGCTTTATCCAGGTGAGTTGAACCATGGAAACCACAAATGTTAACTCAGCTGTATTCGCTGCTCACTTAGTTGTACTAAAAGTTCTCTGATCCGATGTCCCCAGGATTGGGCTGATATTATCAGCTTAAACGAACAAAAACTCATGCCGCCGATCCAATGCTTTACTCACCCTGTCTCTTCTTGCAGCCTCAAATGGGGAACTGACTCAACAATGCCTGATTCGAGTTGGTTTAGTAGAACCTCACAATTCTCATTTGTTCTCCATTGTGACATTTTCTGTTTCTTGTTTATTACCTTATGTTTATTGACATCAAATATTCCTTAATCCATCAGATTAATTGATAAATAACTTTGTCAATGATCTTTAATTCCCTTTACCTCCCTTCCTTATGAATCACTGTTAAAATTTTGCTACAGCCTCAATTGTTATCGTTCTTTAAAGTCTGATTTGAATAAGGTGCACTGTAAGAAATGCGAAACCCGTTCTTATTCTGGAACTCTGCTAGTCCCCACTCCTAACATTTTATGTTACAAATTGCAGAGTCAGTTTTCAACATGCTATTAATTCTGCAAAATGTATTCCTCTTTAAGAAATCATAGGAAAATCCAAATAAGCTCAATATCTCATGTAATTATTCGAACAATTCACTAAAATGTAGCCTGTCACTTACAAATCCAAATTAAATGCTGTTCATAGCCCCTGCATTTTTTCGATTGTATATTGATGGGTAGAAAAAAATGCTATCAAGCAGTTTTTCATTCCAGAGGCTTTTGACTCATTGTTCTGTAATTTCAGGCTTTATATTTCACTCCTACACTTTTAGCCTTCAGCCATTGTTGTCCTGGATGTAACCCTTCTGTTTACAAACCTGCAGAAATGCTAACTGGAACTGTATTTATTTTCTGTTGTGCAATACTCCCATTTGCTCTGGCCATTTCTGGGACATTTAGTTGCTTCAGTTTCTTCCTAACATAATGCTTTCCTGATGTGTCTGTGTGGTTTTTATATCTGAAGCAAAACAAATAGCCAAAAAGGGGATGAAAGGTTATCAGGGAATTGCAAAAATGTAGGGTTGAGGTTAAAATCAGATCAGCCATGACCTTATTGAATAGCGGAGCAGGCTCGATGGGCCGAGTAGCCTACTCTTTTTCGTATTTGAAATTTGACCTTCCTCTTCGTTTATGAAGAATGTGTTTGACACAGTCCACTGTGAATTGTTCCTTTTCCAACTTACCTGTCACAACTCATTCCTAATACACAGTCAACTGTTAAAATCATTAAAGTGAAATCTTTGCAACTGTCATACTATTAATTCCTCATTTGTATTGGCCACTTTCCCTTAGGACAGTTCTCCGTCATCATCAATTTCAATTCAACTTGTCTTTCAAAATGCTTCTGTTTTGAACCTTTGCATATTTCAGGCCTTTGTGTATAGAAGTGCTTCCTAAAGTCTCTCCTGAACAGTCTGGCCCTAATTCGGCTCATGAGGTGAATGGTTAAGCTCTGCTGCGTCTGGTTTCTTCAAGACCCTACACTCTCTTCCACAGCCCGTCTCTTCTTGCAACTTCAAATGATTTTTGTCTGGGGAGTCTACTTGGCATTGCCTGTGTGGAGTTGGTTTAGCAGAATCTCACAATTCCCATTTGTTCTCCATTGCAATTGTTTCTGTTTCCTGTTTATTACCTTACATTTATCGACGTCAAATATTCCTTCGGACATCAGATTAATTGATCAATAACCTTGTTTGCCGGATCAGTCGTTAATTGTAAATCTGAGCTAGATAAACTCTTGTTAAGCAAAGGAATTAAGGGATATGAGCCAAAGGCAGGTATATAGAGTTAGACCACAGATCAGCCATGATCTCATTGAATGGTGCAACGGGCTGAATGGCCTCCACCTGCTCCTATATACATCTAAAGAGCTTGGTTTGAATGAACCCTCCAAAATGTTTTCATGGCAACAGTGCTGCAGATGGTTGTATATTGTTGATCCTTTTTCTGCTTCATTCTTTGTCATTTCTGCTTTGGTCTACTAGCCAAAAGTACAACTTTTTCTGCACTTAGAGTTTTATTCTTGTTGACATGGTGCTGGGGTATCAGCCACATTGTCTAAATAAGAGAGACTGTAAAACGCTGGGGCCATCGGGCTCCATCAGTGAAAGTAGTACTTCATGTATAACCCAGTTACCAGATCCACCTGAATGGGGGTGATTTCCAAGCAAGTGAGGATGTGGAAACATAGCAAAATACTGCTCACCAAGGGATGTGAACCAGCTGCAGGGAAATACAGCTCTGTAAAGTGACTTGATTTTGAGTGTATTAGCTGTCAAAATGTCTGTGTTGAATCATTCCCACAGTGATGCGAGCTTTATTGCCACATTAACATCACCTCTCTAAAAGTGGTGGCTAAGCACTTTCCTCACCCCTGCCCTCCTGTCTTCTGTTTAAGTTCGAGTTGTGCGGTTTGGGTGTCTCTTGGGCAGAGATTGTGAGAGTTTGGGCTGGTGGATGGAAGCTGGGGGGTAGTAGCCTGAGAATATCCGATCCCTTTCACTCTTCACCATTGCCCTGCTGTTGGGTAACCACAGCACCCTGTTGAAGGGGCTAACTCTCACTGCCACCATGCTCCCACTGAACTTGACCTGTCTAAAGTTAACCTCTCATTCTGGAAGTCCACTGACTGTCTGCTATTTCTATGTTCCTATGTCTGTTCCTTGTGCATTTTGAAGGATGTGTTTGGGTGCGTGTGTGTGAACTGAGTGTGTTCCATTCCAAAAAATAGCTTTGCAAATGTGTTTTCCACACCCTTTTACGTGCTGTTGACCACATAGAAGTCATTTGCACAGCCAAAGTGGTGTAACCTTCTGACTTTCTAACAAAATAACATTTCCTAGTAATGTAAATTTTTTTAAAAATTCAGTTGTGGGCTGTGGGTGTCACTGGCTGGGTCAGCATTTACTTCCCATCCCTAGTTACCCTCTTGAGAAGGTGGTCGTGAGCTGCCTTCTTGAACCGCTGCTGTCCATGTGCTGTAGGTTGACCCAAAATGCCCTTAGGGTGAGAGTTCCAGGATTTTGACCCAGCGACAGTGAAGGAACGGTGATATATTTCTAAGTCAGGTCGGTGAGTGGCTTGGAGGGGAACTAGTAGGTGGTGGTGTTCCAGGGCATCAGCTTTCTGTAACAATTGTAGGATAAGTGATGGCTTTAGTCTTGTTATTGCTGCACTGTTAATCCAGTGACTCTGGAAATGTGCTGGGAACCCAGGTTCAAATCCCATCACGGCAGGTGGGGGAATTTGAATTCAATACAAATCTGGAATGAAAAGTCTAATCATGACCATGAGTCCATTTCCAGATTGTCGGAAAAACCCATCTGGTTCACTAATGTCCTTTAGGGAAGGAAACTACCATCCTGAGCTGGTCTGGCCTACTTGTGACTTCAGACACATAGCAATGTGGTTGACTCTTAAATCTGGGATGGGCAATAAATCCTGGTCTAGACAGCGATGCTCTCATGAAAGAAAAAAAAACTGCTCAGATTGTTGTCTATGTTCTGTTGTTTAGTTATTAAAAGACACCAATAACATATACTACCTGAATAAGAGGATTTCTTCACAGGAAAAAAATAGATGTATGTGTGCTGCCCACATTGGCTGTTAAGTTAGTAAAAGGCACCTTTACAGTGATGGTCACAGGGATAGGGATGGGCTCTGATACTGCTCCTGACCCACACCTTGACCCAAGGGGAGCATGCTCCCGTTACTGGGTCGTCAAGTCCCAAGCCCTGGATGGTCACACCCTACTTTGAGATTTTGAAGGTTTTTACAACCTGGAGAATGAAATTTGTCCAAAATACCAAGAGTCTGGAATATTGTGACTTTTCCTACAGTTTTCTTTTTGCCAAAAAAGGTGGGTGGAGGACAAAGATGGTAATGATGTGTTTAAGGGATAGCTGGTTCATGTAATCCTGTGGAAAAAGCTCAGGATATTCAGAATTACTATTTTTGGAGATCATTTTTCTTTCTTTTTGGGAGAGTGATTAAATTGATTCTCCCATTTAGTTATTCTGGACTAGCCCAAGGGCACAGGCTCTGATATCCTCTCCAGAAAGTGAATAAAATCTGAAAGCTTTTGTAGTGGGCTTTCCAGAGAGCTGAATAAGAATGACTTCTATTTAAGTACCATTGTAGTCACATACTTTAATAATCCGAAGCTGCAGTAATTGCATTGGATTGAAAAATATGGAAGGTGAATGTGCACGGAAGCATTCTCTAACATAAATACCTATAACAATAATCACACTGACCTCTGGACTTCGCCTGTGTACACAGTATTTTCTTAGTTGAGAAATAATGTCTTGTGCTTCTTTGAATTCATAACAGTGCTTCATCCATTTTAAACAACTTTGATGTTATTTGTCACTGCAGTTCCATGAGAGAGTTCCATACAAATGAAGGAAAATGTCAGCCTTCTGAATTCTGAAGGGTAATGCAATGTGTGCTGTAGCCTAAATACACAAGCATTTGATTTCCTCTGCAATTTGGTCTCATGCCAACCTGCTTGTTCGTCAGTCCATTGACTTGAGATATTTGACATGCAATGCCAATGTTTAACATTTTGGGAACTTGATATCCCTGATCACTTACGTCCATGGCAGTGCACCAATCTTCCACTTAGCGATCAGCATGTTTGGCCTGCCAAATTTCATGACATGTACTTTTACAATCCATTGTTATCATACTTGGCACCCGTCTTCAGTTCTTGTTTCTTTTTGGCTGTGGCAACAAGATGTGTCAGGTTCTATTGACCTTCTCCATCGTCTTTGGACCTTGATTCAGATCAATATGAAGGATGTTGGACAGAGCACTTTATGGTAATAGGATGTCCCTGAGGAGAACAAACCTACATTTCCTGTCTCATCGTATACAAGTCCGTGATTGTTGGTTTGCTCTGAATTGGTAGTGACAGCAGCCATGACAAAATCTGTAGCCTAAACTCCAGGAAGGATGAGCCATCCAGAGGAATAATGGTATTCGAAGGTTGATATTTGCAAGGATGCTTTGTCATAATGTTCAGCTTATGTCAGTTTCTGTAATTTGACCACATTTTCACGGGTCAAGCATCCAA